CTATTTACATTAAATGTTTACATCAGAATAAGGTCCGTTTGAATTTACTAAGTAACTTATTTTTCAAAGTATTAATCTTTGCTGCATATCAATCAATTCCTTTAGATATTTCTTTTCCCTGAATTTCTCTGATCTAGCTGCATATATATATAAGGATAATTAGCATACTCCAGAGAGGTATACGGCAAGTATAAAAATAGATTCAAGTTGGTTCTTCAGTAATTAATTGGCATAGCAACATTTTAAACCATTTTTACATCAAGCTCATATAGCTTGCCGTACTCGTCGTTTGCTATTTACGAAAAGAAATAACATTAAATGGAAGTTTTGTTTTTATTTGGTAAGTGTACCACATTTAAACAGCAACTACATCTGTTACAAACCGAGAATACATACTATTGCCATTTACCACATCAGCCTTCTTCAACCGAATGTTAAATACAACTGCAGGGGTATACACCACTTCAAGTACAGATGACACTACATATACTTTTACAGCAACTTCCATTAAGGCTAGAACCAATCCAGATCATTCGTTAGGTAATGTTACCTCAAACTTTACAATGCTAGTGGCATAGAATACAATTTTTATATTCTTGTTTTTCAATTGTGCGTATGTGCTTTGTCTATATACTATTTTGTTTTCCTTTGTTGACATATTTGTTTGTTTTATAGCGATTGAGATTATAACACAATGTTGACTGCTGTACCCCTATTTTTGACATTTTTACCTATTATGTCTGTTTGTTTTGTTCACACATTGTTGTCAATATAATGGACTTTTATGCGACTGTCATAAAAGTGATAGGTTTAGCTAGCTTTAAAACCAGGTTTAGTCCACCATTTTCTAGATAAGAAAATGCCTGTACCAAGTCAGGAACATGACAGTTGTTTTCCATTCGTTTGATGTGTTTGAGCTTTTGATTTTGCCAATAGTTAAGGGACTATCCGTTTTGAAATATCCTTGGAGTTCGGTATTTTTGTTGTTTTACGTTATAGTCAGTCTGATCAAATAACTAATGTTAGCATGCACACTGATATAGCGTTTAATGTTTCTTAAAGTATCTAAGAAAAAGTTGTAAAATATCAATAAATCAATTTTGGTATATTGTTGTCAAACAATAATTCAAGCCCGGCTACATGTAAGGTAGTTTTTACACAATCTGAAAATACACAAATTAAATTTCGTTTCTTTCATTGAGCATTGAACATCTGCTAAATAAGTGTACATGTATATTGTACAGCTCATCCAAGTAGATCCAGAAACTACTAAAGTATTTGACGATTGATCGTTTTGGTGCAAAGCGAAATATTAATATTCCTTTTTTATGGAAGTTGTATGATGAGTAATTCAGGTTACGTTAAGCATTTAATCCAGCAACTTCATGCGGGAAAGTGGATTTAGAGCTTTGGTTATTAAACATGCTGGATATTATTGGCATGCCCTATTTATGAATATGTTCTGCTGGTTATCGTGCATTGTCGGTAAATGCTAATTTGCATAAAAGGATGAAGAGCTTTTCGTTCAATAATTATGGTAAATGTTTCAAGCCTTTCTGTCATAATAAAGTCACAGTTGAGTAAATAGTTTGATAATTTTCCTCCACAGATCAGAATTAAAATATTATAATTAAATGTAACAAAGAGTTGTGTAGGTAAACCTGTCAAGACTTGGTTGGAAATTGTGAGACATTTCAAGAAGTGAAAACATATTTAAATCGATCGGGAACATCTATAATTTGCTAGAAACAATATTTTTTTAATACGAATTGAGGTGGTTTTGTTGCTCATGCATAAGGTAATTGGTAAGTATATATTTTTAACTACTGAAACAGAAGATTGATATGAAAATGTGTATGAATAATTATCTATCTTGTATAGCTGCATAAAAATGATTTTTCGTTTTTCAGTAAATGACGTCACTGTATAATTTAAGTTTGAAAGGTTTTGATTATTGTTTAATGTATTTGGCACACAGCTTGGCAGCAAATCCCCATTTTATGGCGGTTGACAGTGTAACCAAGGTCTGGTTTCACTGTCAATCTGGCAGAATTCGCTGCATCAAAAAACTTTTTCGTTTTATAAATAGTATCATTCACTACAGATGAACAATGTAAGGGTTTTGATCCATCACATGTGTTCCCACGTTGATCCAAATTGTTTTAATCTTATCTTCAGTTACTACAATTTGTAATAGTCATTTATGTATGTATATATATATATATATATATATGACAGTACGGTTGCCATAATCAGCGATATGCCGGTAACCTCATGTTTTCAGATATATCAGAGACAGTTCAATTGCCAGCGATCTGCGGCACTTACATATATAATGAGATTACTTATATACAATATGTATAAATTTGAATAATATTAAAGGCTGTGGCCAAATAATGCCAATTTGTAGTTGAGTTTGAACAAGCATCTGGGATAACAGTTATAGGAAAGTCAAATTCAGCAGGAAGTACAGAAATGTCAATTAAATATTCGTAAAATTCACAAATTCTTTCCACCATATCAGATCTATTGTATGGGGCGAAAAAACGCGAATTATTTTCTTCAAAATGTAATATACATGTAGTATTTTCTGATTGGAATACAGTTTCACCAGATATGTCTGTTTTTAAAGAACTATAACAACTAAAAAAATCCTAAAATTTAAAGTTTGTTATAGATTGCAAACAATGTCACTGAAATGTCAATATTTTTTCGTAATTATGAAATATTTTTATTTAATTGAAATATGCAAATAATACTTCCCTTGTACCATAATAAGAAATCACCATTAACTGTTCTATTACAAAAAAACTAAAACCAATCCTTTTTACTGTTAAAAATTACGATTTTGTGCTAATTTTAGCAGCCTCCGTTTCATGAATATATTTTAATGTATCTTAGTAACATCCACTTGATACCTAAAGAAATCCAAGACGGTTATGTACTGGGTCTTGCCTGAATGTTACGTGGAATATTTCGTTCACAGTTAAGCAGTAGATCGATCTTGCTGTAATGTCTAACGGCCTGTTTTGTGAAGATGTCGTTGGTTTGCTGTACACTTATGTATACCTCACATATCCGGTAATATATATCCCTGAAAAAAAAAGTAAATAGAGACAACCTCGAAGTAGGTTTCTGATTCGGCAGATGCACGCAAACATGAGAAGGAGTTGAACTAGTTTTTGATATATTTCAGTCTTCCCCATTTAAATCTTAAGAAACAACAGTTAAGTCTTTGATACCCACAATACTGATTACAAAACACACAAGTACATGCAAAATAATAGTAAACAATACCGTTACAGAGAATATATATGTATCATGTACTTGATGTCAAATATTTCAACATATTATTAGGTCTTTCAACATTTCTGTGGTTGTTTCGCAAGATGTCGCTTAGATTTTTTGGATATTGTATCGAACAATTATTGCGCTTTTAAAAATCATCTTGTTAGCGAAAGACTTTTTTATTTTAAGAGTTATCTCCCCAAACACTGTTTTTTCTTGTTAGTATATCTCCTCCGTAACCAAAAAAGATAACGACACAATTCTTTTTTATATTTGTTCGTTACATCCTGAGGAATTTTTGGCTGATTTAGATCAAAGCGATTCGTTGAAATCTTATAGGAGTTATCTACCGTTACCAAATAAATTTGTCGTTATGATTTTGTAACCGTAAGCCGTATAAAACTAGATTCTTTTTATTTGAGGTCCTTGGGCTCTTACTTAGAAAATCAGGTCAAAGGTCATGCTCTCAATTTTGACTTTTGCTTGATTTTTCATTTTATCTGATATTATTAGTTATATATAAAAGAACTAGGGCTAAATGTTTGCTTTATAGTGATTAAGATATGATATATTTGGTCTAAAACAATCCAATGGCATCTTATAGGATTTTTTGCTCCTGAAATGTTTTATTTTAAGGTAAATTGATTATTACTTCAGATTGGTACATGATAAAGCCATAAGGTCTTTTGCAAAATGTTGGGTGACATATGACCTTGAAAAAAATACCAACCGGAAGTGACCTTGAGTGAACCGGAAGTAGTACTTTTTGCACTTATTTCATAGAAAAGTACCTAGAACCCATATATTTTTTAAATGGGCATACATAAACTTACCATTTGAGACCGGAAGTGACATTCTTTAACCGAAAGTAGCAAATTATCTCCCTTATAACAGGCATAAGTTTAAACAAACTGTTTATTTTTGGAATCAATGTGAATAAAGCTATCATATGAGACCACAAGTGACATTTTCTAAACCGGAAGTAGCCATTTTCTTCCTTTTTACAAGCAACAGTATATAAAAACCATATATTTTTGGAATCAGTTTAAATACAGCTATCATATGAGACCAGACGTGACATTTTCTTAACCGGAAGTTGGCAATTATCTGCCTTATTTCAGGCAAAAGTATATAGAAACCATATATCTATTGAATCAGTATAAAGAATTATGAATTGACGCCAAAAGTAACTTTCAGTAAATCGGAAGTAGCTTCTTCTCAGTTATTTAGAAAATTAATGAGCAAATAATTCAATACAAATCAGAATATAAAATTATTATCGACAATTATGGATTATTTATAATGCAGTTAATATCTTTTGTTGGTTGTAGGCTTGATACTTAGATGGCTATAAAAAAATTTCCTTCGCTTGAAAATACTATTTCGTCATTTGATTGCATTGTTTATTATATATATGTAACAGACATTTTCTAATTTTCAGCATTTTGTACCGAATGACCTTCAATTGTTCTCTGAACAATTGGCTTTTAATTTTAACCTGATTTACACACAATATTGGTCCAACGTTCAAAAGCATTAAATGTGTTCATGTTAAACATTACCACCAATGTTTGTTCAAAATATTATTTTAAGAAGTGTTACGTTTTGAATGAAGTATATAAAAAAAAAACGTTATATTAATTGTAAAATGCGAATCCTCTATGATGAATATATTGCCCCAAGCTATTGTATACTTCTACGTGTCATGTAGTTAGTGCATTGAAATTATGATACGGTCATGTATAAACTTTTAATCATGAAGTCTGTTCTTTTGTTAATATTGGTTTTCAAACTAGGCCTCCTGGCTCAACAATTAAAGAAGTCGTTGGTATGTATTTGCATGGAAGAACTGTCATCTAACCTTGATAACCCTCTCATCATTCAGAATGCTGGTGATGGAACAGAACGTCTATTTGTTGGCGAGCTAAAGGGTATAGTACACATTTTCAACCAGAATGGAGTTAAGTGTACAAAACCATTCTTAAATATAACAGATAAAGTCAGTGATAGTCGTGAAAAAGGTTTACTTGGATTAGCCTTTCATCCTAATTTCTGGAAAAATCGTCGATTTTTTGTATACTATTCCAGTAGAGCTATACCAAAGAACCCATCAGACGACCACGTTACTCATTTATACGAATTCCGTGCATCTGGACGGAATCCAGATATTGCTGATACGTCATCAGGAAGATTAATCATGGAAATACAACAACCATTCAATAATCACAACGGAGGAGAGGTAAGCCAATCTTTTATCATCATATAACTATCATATGTTAGAAAAACTAATTCATAATCTTCATTGAATAACGAGTAGTCTCTTGTTATATTGAACGAAAAAAGAACAAATACAGCAAAAGTCCAATCAAAAAGCGTAAGCCAAACAAAGACACTGAACCTTATATACCAAAAATAAAAAGACTAAGACACTAAATAACAATCTATAAAAACTTAATGTTGAGAAACACGTAACCTTCCAAAAAAAGTAAACTAAATTTAGCACGTTTATTAACAGCCTCAGAAGAAAACGATAGGAATAAGAAGCCCTTGAATAAATAAAACAAAACAAGAATTTTATTTGCGAGCACCAGTTAGTAATATCATTGGTCAAAATAAAGTTTGCGGGCGACGTATTGGAAACAAAATTTGCATTTAGAAAATCGATAGTCTTCAAAAACAATTTTGATTTTACAATACTAATTCTATTAAAAGCTGTTGATTTACAGTCCCTGTAACGTAAAAGTTAACACTTTTTTCATTCGGGAATCGTACGTACAGCGTTCGGGAATCGTTCGTATAGAGTTCGGTCATCGTTCGTACATCATTCGTATAGCGTCCGTACAACGTTCGGTCAGCGTTCGTTCATCGTTCGTTCATCGTATGGTAAATGTCATCGTTTAGGATTTTGTGTATCGTATGGTTCATGGTATCGTTAAGCGTTTTATTTGTCGTATGGTACATGGTATGGTTTAGCGTTTAGCGTTTCGTTTATCGTATGGTATATGATATCGTTAAGCGTTTCATCTGTCGTATGGTATATCGTTTTGTTAAGCGTCTGATATATGTTAGGCTTTAATTTCAGAAAGTTATTTCAATTATTATTTTGAGTTAAAATAAATTAATATAAAAAGATGCAGGATAAAAAAAACAATTATTAGTTTGGATTGATTGAAAGTTGGTTGCGTACTTGTATATCCCAAACAACCAAACGGATGCCCCCACTTTGGCAAGTTTTTTTTTTTACTGCCAGCCGTAAGAAAATCTTTAGTGACCATATTTATATCCTTTTGTCACCCTTTGGACTATATTAGATTGGAAAGATTGGATTGGAAACATTTCACTTGTTAATTAAAGCAAATAAGTTATCTTATTTATTATATATTTTGTTTCATACTAATTGCGTAGTTCTTGATGTCTTTTTGTAATTTTGAATCATTTCAAATTCGATCTTATAAAATGTTAAAAAAAAACGAACCTAAACAATACCCTTTGTTAATTGAAACGTGAACTATTTATTTACATAAAACATATTTAGTCGTAAAAATAGTATTGGTTGTAAACGTTTTATCTTGATTGAGAAACGTTTAGCAATGCAATAAACTTACTTTAAATGTACTATAACTTAACGTAGATTTCGAACTGTAAACCATTTCTTACCGATAGAAAAAAAATCTGCAACTAATATCATTATAGAATACCCTGCTATATAAAACGAAGGGGAAACATTCCTTACATCACATTTTGACATGAATAACATGAGACCAATTTGAAATACCGCGAAATAAGTCTCTCTCTTTCTCTCTCTCTCCTCCACCAAATATTTCCGTGAAACAATAAATTATATATAATGTTCTATAAATGAGGCTTTATATGAGATACACGTTTTATATCTAAATGTATTTGGATTTGTACCAGTGGCACGCGCTGATTACAAAGTCATTTAACTTAAAATAATAAAATCTATTCACACCAAACTTTATATTTATGAGTTATATACTCATATCTTCTTTTATCCATGTTCTTTGTGGTCTTAAAACATCGTTTTAGTGCAAACACGTACACTAAGAAGTCCTTTGCGGTATTTCTGCACACCGTTTTGATGTTTAATTAATAACTGGATTCCCTCCTCCTTGCTATTTACGGGCTAGTTTCTGAGTGCTTAATGCATGTAACTATGTGATCTTATTCACCATTCAAAATGATTGTGCACGAGTCATCTGTAAACAGCCTTGCAAAGTATGATTTAACAGCGCGCATTATGTTTCCATTTAATTTCTCCTTTTTCTATAATAAGTTCAAATGTTGCTTTATTAAATGCACCTAGGTACGTATTTGTAAACTTATGTAATTACTTTATTTCATGTATCTTTTTTGTCTTCTTTTTTGGCTTCAATTACTTATTTTTTTTCTAATTGACTTATTCGTAAATCGAAAAACGCAGAAACCTCAATAGAATCATATGGCATTGAATGATTTCTCCAACTCAAAACTAGTTATAGATGCCTCTTAAATTTTATTTTTCTCGTTGGGTTGCTTGTCCATTAATTGACGTTTACGCCGTATTCTTTTTTTCGGTATTTGTAAAAAGCCGCTCATCGATCAATTTCACAAGAAATCTAATACTCGTAAGTTATGTACATTGAAGTTTAACTTGCTAACAATTTTTCGTATACGCACAAAGATAAAATAAATGAAACACTTTTAAGCTGTTTAAATCTTGCAGTGAATTTTGAAAATATGGTTTTGAAAAACCAGTTATTTCTGTTTAATACTTTTCTGTCCCTTTTCTTAATAATTAGGAGACGTGCCACTGGTTAATATAGAACTAGTCAACCATGAATAATCCCAAACAACAAATTTTTTGATTGGTTTGTCATACTTGCTTATCAATTTCGTATTGTTTTCGGCTGAGACTACCATAACAGTTATAGTAGTCTCAGTTTTCGGCAATATTGTAACAATATCCTTTAGAATTTTAAATTGCTTCAGTCATTTAATATATAATTTATTTTTGTTGTTGTTCACGATTAATATTTTTAGATTGATAATATGATTGCATCATTTTTTAAGCATTATAGAAGTCACAGTAAACATTAAACTTATGCATGGCGGAAAAGAAATATACGAAAACGATAGGTGCAATGTTCATGCAGCCCTGCAAATAATATTTAAAAAAAAACATTTAATTTATAAAACTTAGAACTTTAATTTAAGTATTTTTGATGGGATGTTGAAGTTTCCAGAACATAGAAAATACACAAGAAAATCTATTAGTACACTAGTCTATCAAAATGTGCTTGCTGTCCATTTTACAATATATTATTTAAGAATTTAGTGTTTTCTTATTCATTCTGACATCTGTGTCCCTGGATCTGAACAAGAAATTGCGAGGACGTTATGCTTATCAGTTTACCTTTAAAATGGTTTTTCAACAGAATGTTATCTATATAAAGTTTTAAATTTTTTGTTTTTCGTTGCGAAAACAAAATGGCCCTAAAGCTAAATGTCATCGTCAGATGTATAATGGAAGGTGATAAACACTTAAGAATACAGCATGTATATACCACCTGCTGGTTCTTTTTACCTGGACACAGATCTTATTACGTAACAAGTACGAAGGTTAAATTATCGATTTGGTATATTCAGTCGAATATATACGGTATCTCTGGACTGGGGTTTTTAAGATATTTTGATCTGACAATGTATGTAAATTTATTTGTGCTTCAAATCACTGATTTCTAATTATAGACCAATCTCATTATTATCAACAGTGGGAAAAGTATTTGAAAAAATTGTATTTAAAATGTATTTAATCACTTAATTAGGTATATTTCAAATATACAAGAAAGCGTTTGTGTTTCAAGTTCATATTTGCCTTTTTAGAATACTAATGCAGGAGTTCCACAAGGCTCTGTATTATGTTCCCTACTATAATAATTCCTTATTTATGTATATGAGATAGCTGGTAATTTGATAAGTCTAACTCGATTGTGTGCTGATGAAACATCCCTTTCTAATTTAAGTATTATAGTCCTTACACAATAGAGGATGTCTTCACTAGCGATTTAGAACAAATTTCCGCATGGTCTAAAGATTGGCTTATTGATTTCAATCCTAACAAGACAATTACTATGCTATTCTCCTGTAATTCTTCCCCAGATGATATTAAAATAGAACTTCAAAATCAAGTAGTAGAATTGTCTCCTGTCATAAATACTTAGGGATAACTTTTGATTCCAATGGTAAATTCTATACACATATAGAAAACGTTTTAAAGTGTGCAAGCACAAGATTAAATTTCTAAAAAGAATTGAAATATGTATTGACTAGAAATTATCTTACTCGTATAAACTTAACACTTATAAGACCAATTATGGAAATGCACGTGAGTTTTGGGATGGTTGTACTCAACAAGATTCCGACAATCTAGAACATGACGTTTAGTTGGAAGCAGGAAGATTAGTAGCTGGGTTGCCCGTGTTTGCTAGTCCTGAAGTTATATATTTTCAGTGGTGCAGGCCCACATTTGCTAGTGGACAGAAGAAAATCCAGAAAGCTCAATATGATCCAATATGTTCTATTCTTCACATAAAGTGGGACTGCCTCTACGATTTAATGCCACTTTTTTTTCAGTTATGAATAGATATAACCAGAAAATTCTTTTTTTTTCCATCTACTACTATCGAATGAAACAGTCTAAACCCCGACATATGTACGTCCAGAAATATGATTATATTTATCTAACTTGATACAGACACAATTGCACGCCAATCTTTATTATAAGGACAGTTGATTGGATAAAAGTGATGGATTGCCACGCCTATATTAAAACTGAGGTCCTATGAACTGACTTCAGATAGCTCCCAGTATTCGAATTTGATAAATAAAAAATATTGATATCTCGTATTGTTTCAATATTAAAAGTGTTGTTTAGCGTAGTTGAATTTTAGATTAAATTTGGGAAGTCGTGTACATCCCCATCAGGGGTGGATCCAGAACCTTGTCTGGGGGGGGGGGGGGGGGGGGGGGGGGAACCATGCGATCAAAATTAAATATTTATTTACAGGTGTATATATGCGAGTGTGGGTGGTAATGGTGGGTGGGGGGGGGGGGGGGGGGAATCAGATCATCGTTTCTATAGTTCTATATCTTTTATTTTTTTACCATTTCACTGTTTTCTTTATTCTTCTGCCAATTAATCTGTATAATAATTGTCCAAAGCATGCATGTAATATTTGC